GGGGGGGGTGGTGTGTGTGTGTGTGTGTGTGTGTTGTACACATGAAGGCCATTGTATTAAAATGCATAAGGGGAGGTATTATTAGGATTTGCTATGCAAAGTTGTGAGGCAAATTAAGATTCTTTTAATGGATACTACATATATATTTATATATTACAGACATTCTATTTCATATTAATACATCTGCTCTTTCGTAGTAAATCACATAAGTGGAAGTATCACTGCCAATGTGTTTGTATGTTATATAATACACATAATAGTACATGTGAGAACTACTTTGGATTCCTTGATTTTTAATTCAATAATAATAAATGACAAAACTAAGATTTGCACAATAAACTTTATAAAAAGAAAAAGGAGAAATGTTGAAGATAAAAAAAGTAGCTTGAGGCTTTAAAATATTTTCTTACAAATAGAAAAATAATCAGTTAATTCAGTGAAAAACTTGTTTAGTAGTAATAGAAAATTGTATGTACAAATACTATCAGACCAACTTATGTAATAACAAAAAATTCAAATTAGATTAAAATAAAGAACTTTTATTATTTAGATGCTAACTTTAATTGTTTAGAATATTAAATTTCTCTCTTTGGAAATTTAAAATGAATGGCTTAAGAGATCATATTCTATAAACTATCAACTTTTCTTAACTTTATATGTCTATGAATGAAGGTAAAAATACTCAAAACAGCATTATTGTTTTTAAACAAGTGTTTTAGCTATGTATCAACATATTTTTAATTATTGATAAACACTGAAAAATTCAAGCCAGTGCCCTTGTTTCATTAGATTTTTAATAGCTACTTAATTGTCTGTATGTAATTATGTTTAATGTTTTGATATAATTGAACAAAGTTCAGTAAGACTTTTATATTTTAACTTAGAATGAGACTTTAAAATTCATTGGGATTATAGTATTTACATTTTGATAAAAATGACTTTAATGAACACAAAATTGGATTTATGAAAGATATTTTTAATAATAAAAGTTTTCCCATCAAAGTTATATGATTTCAAACTCCTAGCTCCAAATGTAAGGAGGGAAGATTTTAATTTTAAATTATTAAAATATGTCATTTCTATAAAGTGCAGATTGACTGTTTTCATACTTGTCAATCAATGATTTCAATATGTGTCATTCACTAGATGTGAATAATTTTGAATAAAATTTTTACTTAAAATTTGTCAGCGACCCCATGGAATTATTTCAACTACAATGGGGCATTAACTCATTTTGTGCAGTATAATTAAGTGCAACTATGTGATAGAGTTCTTGGTTAAAATGAACCAGACTCTGTTTCTTTTCAGTTTTGCTCTTTTTTGCATCATTTTTATCATAAATGTTGTATTTTTAAAGAGCCCTAGAATACTTTTTAGATATATGTGATTATTGGTCAGATTCACTAAATGGAAACTCCGTGTACCAAATTAACAGAGAAAGAATTAAACATTAAGAAAATGATGAACTCAGATTTAAGAGGAAAGCATAAGCCAGTTCTTGAACCAGGTGGTAATCTCTTCTGACTAACCATCTCAAACCAAAAGCAAGAACTGCCATTTAAAGCTAAAATTTTCTCAATGTTTTTGAACTTTGGTCTATCCAGTTGTAGTTTTTAAAAATAACTTTTTAAAAAATAACATATGTTCAGCAATTTTGCTAGTAAAAGACCAAATTCCCCTCCTTTATAAAAATTTAAAACACTATTAGAAAAAAAAACATCATGTTTGCCATTTGATGTAAATGCCACAGCTGAAAGACGTTAGTGCTATGGACTTTAGTTATTTTGAGGACTGTGCACCTAAGAGTTAAGCATACACTTCATTTGGTATGTATGAACCAAAAGCACAGAACTTTAGTCTTGTACTAAAGATAGATTAGAGCAAAATGCGTTGTTTGTATTCTCTGAGGATAAGCGGGGTGGTTCAAAGTAATGATAAACTGCATTTTCTTAATATGTCTCTGAAATAGTTGAATACATTTTTCTATACCTTACACATCTTATTTCAAAAGTTCTCTATCATTACTTAAATTAAATGAATTCTGTAAGGAGCAAACAGAGATATAATGAATTTATGGCCCAAAAGAAATTCATGGATATCACTTGTTTTTATATTTGAGAATATTAAAAAATGTCTTTTTTTTTAACCTAAAACTTGAAATGTGAAAATACTGGCCATGAGACAACTTGTCAGTAGGGGTCTTGGTATGGTAGGGAACTATTTTGAAAGTATTATACTTTGCAGACTTATCGTTGTCTTACCACACTAAGAAAATACTGTGACAACCTTCATTCATGTGGCAACAATGATAAGACTGAATCCAAATTTTTGAAAGAATGTGTCCCTTCTAATGTGTAGATCCTTCCAAACTGGAGAACGACATTGTAATTAGCATCCTGAGATTGCATGCACCTCAATAATCCCTGTGTCAAACCCTAATATTTCAAATTAAACCAATGAGAAAACTATTAATATTGAGAAAATCAAAGTGTGTGCATATGCACTAACTAGTCACACATAAGTTGCAGTTCTAATATGAATAGTCTGAAGTATTTTTAAATAGCCACATTTGAAAGTTTCTAATTTTTGTATAGTACATGAAGTTCACTTCACTTTTTAAAATTATTGTATATTTCAACCATTGAAATATGCAGTTCCATAGTATATGAATTTTTACGAAACCTTATACATTAGCATATATATATGACACCCTTCTGTCTTTCTCAATCATTAGAATTGGAGTTCAACTCTAGTGGGGACCTAGACCTTTTTTTATTACTTAAAATAGATTCCAGGAAGAAACTGTGGAAGCAAGAAGGCCAGGGTCTTTGAGACTTCTTCAACCTTTCTGGATGTTTTTCCATGACAATTACTCACCTGGAGAGCCCTTCCAACTCCTAGCTCCTGTATCTAAGGAATCATTATGACTATTCTATTATCAATTCCTATTCCTGTTCTGTGAATATATTATAATAATCTTTACCTGAATTTTGAATTATAACTGCTTTAAAAATCTATATATTTCTAAAATATGAGTACATATATTGGGTTTATGAATTTCCAAGATCTTATGGAAGATAATGGAAATTTTAGAAAAATAAAGGGAAAAAATAAACCAACATGTTTTGCAGGAGAAAACAAATTTGTTAACTACTCTATCATTCTGTGCAATGTAAGTAGTTATGATTTTAAGAGAAAAATAGGGGTATCTTTCATACCATCATCCCATCTAACTGCGTTTCATCCCATTTTTAAAATTATACTTTTGTTTCTAACGTGGTAGACCTCAACCTGCTAGTCATTTTGGAGAACTGAATATTATATTGGCAGCTCAATTTTCCTTTCATCTATAAAATACATGTTCTATGAAATGGACTCGAAGGAATGTGGGATTGACCAATACTAAATAAAAAAAAAAACTCTCAATATTACAAGTAGGAAACTGGCAATACTTAATTCACAGGGGTCCCCTAACCACAGCTTGGAGCGAGCACCCTAAGAGAGAAACTCTGAGAATGAAAATGTGCCGCAGTCCTAGACCAATCAATCATTAACCATTGTGGAGGTCATACCTCCTACTCCAAAAGAGATCCCACCTACTTTGCAACATAGATAAGAAAGCTAAAGCTTTCAAAATTTATCAGCATACGTCATCTGTATGTCTCATCTAGTTGATGATGAACTAGTAAAGAAAAGCAGCCATTCCAAGCATACAGCCTAAACTTCTCCTAGTCTGTCAGTGTTCATTAATGCCGACCAGGCAAAGACTACAAAATCATGGACTTGATTAAAACACATTCAGAAAATAAGTATAGTTTCCTCCCACAAGACACTTTCATTATAACAGTCTATTCAAGGCAACTATAATCAATGGAAATAGAACCTATATTAGTTAGAAATGGACTTAGTGACCCAGAGAATATTTTTGCATCTTTATAATTACAAACTTGTCCTTTGAGTTTTACCCACCTGTTAAGCACGGTTATGATAGCTACATTGTGCTTGTTAATTTGGTTGTTCAATTTTTGAACTAGAAGCCTGTGTTTGGCTTCTGGACTGAGTTACATGCTATTAGAGAGGTATGGAAACTTTTAGCACCATTAGCTCTGGCAGACTATAAACTTAACTTGCATTGTCAGTTGCTGGATTCATGTGCATTTCAGAGAAGAATTTAGTTGCAAAAACTGCACAATTCTTTTAAGTGACAAATTTTGATATTTCTTAAAAATGTGCCCCAAATTGTCTGTTCTGCTCAAGAAATATTGAAGGACTTTCTAGTGCCGTTTTTCAAACTATCTTGACAAGGCCACTTTCTGTAACTGAACCTGTCTCAAAAACTGGCAGTGGAAAGGTATGGCCGTGAAGATGAGAATTCTAGAAAAGGCTGACATTTGGAATATAATGCCAGCCAAGTCTGTTCTCCATGGTTCCTTCATAAGTCCTTACTGCCTCCTCTGTCTGGGGACACAATGCCATTCATAG